TATCCCATTTGGCTAATCCTCAGGGTTAAAAATCTTTTTTTTTTTTCTTAATGAAGTGGTAGAGGCAGAATCCATATATAGTTTTAAGGACAGATATGATAAGGCTCACGCTTATCCAAAATAATAGTCCACCACTAAATATGATTTTCTTTATTAAATTTAAAAAATATTAAGAACAGAAAATGTACGTGGCTTGTAAGTTTAGGGTAAACAATTATATATTTGCTAACTCTGACTAAATAAGTCGGTAAGTTTATTCAGGTACAGGCACACATAAATACAGTTACATAAATTATCATACATAGAAGCATATGCATAGATTACCTAGGATAACATAAAAAAATCACAGTGACTTATCTCCATTGGGGTCTTTGACAATCCCCATTCAGGCACTGTATGACCCTTATAAGATTTTATTCGGGGATTAACCCCGGAAGGTTATTAAACCAGGATAGCCCAATAATGCTATGTAATCATTGGGATCACTTAATCTTCTTCCCCAGGACGCGACCCCACAACAAGTAACTACTGCTAAGTGAACAAGGGCAGCATGTAAACGAAATATAGGGATCTAATGGCTGTCCCTTGAATAAGATTTGTGTCTGGCTCTGGGATAATCAAATGGGCATCCTTCCATCTTAAAAGCAGGCTAACAGTATTCCGACATTGCATGCATACATTTATGTTGACGCAACTGTTGTGTTGAGAGTGTGTGCGAGATGTTTCTCCACTGTATCCCTCATCGCACCACCAGCAGAAAATAACGCAAACACACTTTGTTCAAGGTTTTTTTGAGGTATCCTAGGTAATTTACACATAAGTTATTATGTAAAACAGCTGTGATCATCTGTAATGTTTGTAAAAGTACTCAAATAAACTTACTTTTTTTTTGCTGAGTGCTAAATTTTAGTTTATGTGAGGTCCTTAATGGTAACAACTCTGATGGTGCCTCGGGCGAGTGATGTAAAGAATTTTTTTTTTTATCATTTTGAAATTAGGAAGGACCCGATGTCGTTGTGTGGAGAGTAACAGATAGGGACGACACGTTGCTGGCAGTCTCCGATGAAGAATGTGCGGAAGTGGAGCTCGGAAAATGTTTATAGAATGAAGGTATATGCTTCGTGTAGGAACTCTGGGATGCCGATGGGGAAGCCTCTCAGAAAAAAAAAATGTTACAATGCCTCGATTTGTTGGTCTCCTGAATGGAGAAAAGTTAATGAGATCGTTTTTATATATAGGCTTTCTGAAATTTTTGAACCTGAAAGATTTATTGATTATATATGATCATGTCGAGGAATGTGACTTCCTCAACTAAGACATCTGTGCCACACTTTCTGTATGACCCTGGTGGTTTAGCCTTTAGTTTTGATTATAATAACAATTTTGCCACACTTTGGTACATTTATCGTGGAAACGTCTCAGCAGCCAGTGGCTTCATCAGTCCAACTGAGACGAATCGTAGAACATGAAGAGTTTGAGGCAGTCTCTCAGCCTGGAAATGAGGGACTGATAACATCAGCCTGGGACTGGTTACCTCAGACTTCTCATTTTACACTGCTCTGTGTTTGACTGATGAATCCAAAAGAGTTACAGAGAGGGAAAGAGAGAGCATCATTTGGAATCTATGAGGAATCATGACGATGTAAAAAAAAATATTTATATTATTTATTTAACTGAACAATATACAAGCCCCAGTAGCCTAGCTGTGAAAGATAACTAGATTAGAATACTAGTAATAGAGCTTTATCTATATTAATTCACTATGTTTAATGTTCATCTGAAAGTACTTACTAGACCATATAAAACAGAAAGTCACTCTCATAATTACGGAGTGGTTCGTCCATCTCAATGATGGATCAAAATCATGATGAACTCAAAGTTGTCATGTTAACGCTCATCATGTCCATGAATCCCCTGGCAAACTTATGGTCCAAGAAACGGTTTGAAAACCCCATAGTTAAGTCCAGGCGTCCATTGAGGCTGTGGGCATAAAAACATATGAAACTGTTCATGTATCGTATAGATGCGAGTCGAGTGAGCTTCACAACCTTCACACAGTCACTCTCACCAGTGAACAATGGCGTCACGTCACCCATATTTGATACAGTGTAATAGCTGTCAGGCGTCCCCTGGCTTGTAAAATATCCATCTAAAATTTCAGATTTTGATTTTTCCATCAACTTAAGAGCCACAACTTGCAGGGGGCGGCGCTCTATTAAATGAGAATGTAATTTCTTGTGAAACTCCTTTACTGTAGGCCAAAAATTGGACATCAGGTTTTCAGAGGTTTTGAAAGAGGTCCTGAATCCAAATGTAGGAACATGATTGCCGTAAATACCTGTGGTGTCACCTTCATAATATCGTCTTAAGTTGATGTCATGCCCGGCCCGAAAATTAATTTCATGTGGCATCTCGCAATGATCATTAAGCAGATTAATGAGAACATAAGAACATAAGAACATAAGAAAGGAGGAACACTGCAGGAGGCCTGCTGGCCCATACTAGGCAGGTCCTTTACAATTCATCCCACTAACAAAACATTTACCCAACCCAATTTTCAATGCTACCCAAGAAATAAGCTCTGATGTGAAAGTCCCACTCAAATCCAACCCTTCCCGCTCATGTACTTATCCAACCTAGATTTGAAACTACCCAAAGTCCTAGCCTCAATAACCCAACTAGGTAGACTGTTCCACTCATCAACTACCCTATTTCCAAACCAATACTTTCCTATGTCCTTTCTAAATCTAAACTTATCTAATTTAAATCCATTACTGCGGGTTCTCTCTTGGAGAGACATCCTCAAGACCTTATTAATATCCCCTTTATTAATACCTATCTTCCACTTATACACTTCGATCAGGTCTCCCCTCATTCTTCGTCTAACAAGTGAATGTAACTTAAGAGTCTTCAATCTTTCTTCATAAGGAAGATTTCTGATGCTATGTATTAATTTAGTCATCCTACGCTGAATGTTTTCTAACGAATTTATGTCCATTTTGTAATACGGAGACCAAAACTGAGCTGCATAATCAAGGTGAGGCCTTACTAATGATGTATAAAGCTGCAGTATGACCTCTGGACTTCTGTTGCTTACACTTCTTGATATAAATCCCAGTAATCTATTTGCCTTATTACGTACGCTTAAGCATTGCTGTCTTGGTTTAAGGTTGCTGCTCACCATAACCCCCAAGTCCTTTTCGCAATCTGTATGGCTAAGTTCTACATCATTTAATTTATAAGTACTAGGGTTATGGGCACTCCCAAGCTTCAGAACCTTGCACTTATCTACATTGAACTGCATCTGCCACTTTTCTGACCAAGAATAGAGTTTGTTTAAATCCTCCTGAAGTTCCCTAACATCTACGTTTGAATCAATTATCCTACCTATCTTTGTGTCATCGGCGAATTTGCTCATATCACTAGTAATTCCCTCATCAAGATCATTGATATATATTATAAACAACAATGGGCCCAAGACTGATCCCTGTGGAACGCCACTTGTTACAGATCCCCACTCGGATTTAACCCCATTTATGGACACTCTCTGCTTCCTGTCAGTGAGCCATGACTCGATCCACGAGAGCACTTTTCCCCCAATGCCATGAGCTGCCACTTTCTTTAACAGTCTATGGTGCGGAACTCTATCAAAAGCCTTACTAAAATCTAAGTAAATAATATCAAATTCTTTATTGTGGTCAACACCCTCAAAAGCTTTACTGAAGAAAGTTAATAAATTAGTTAGACAAGACCGGCCTCTTGTGAATCCATGCTGAGTATCATTAATCAAGCTATGCTTATCGAGATGGCTTCTTATAATCTCAGCTATAATTGACTCTAGTAATTTGCCTACAATTGAGGTCAGGCTTATTGGGCGGTAATTTGACGGTAACGACTTGTCCCCTGTTTTAAAAATAGGAGTTACATTAGCCATCTTCCACATATCAGACACTACACCTGTTTGAAGAGATAAATTAAAAATATTAGTTAATGGTTCACAGAGTTCCATTTTGCATTCCTTAAGAACCCTTGAAAAAACCTCATCAGGACCCGGCGACTTATTTTGCTTCAGTCTGTCTATCTGCCTCACAACCATCTCACTAGTGACTGTGATGTTACATAATTTATCTTCTTCTAGCCCACTGTAAAAATTAATTACTGGAATATTGTTAGTGTCTTCCTGTGTAAAAACTGAGAGAAAATAATTATTTAAAATCAAGCACATTTCATTCTCATTGTCAGTAAGGTGCCCATAGTTATTTTTAAGGGGACCTATCTTATCTCTAACTTTTGTTCTATAGACCTGGAAAAAACTTTTGGGTTAGTTTTAGAATCCCTAGCAACTTTAATTTCATAGTCCCTTTTAGCTTTTCTTATCCCCTTTTTAATGTCCCTCTTAATGTCAATATACTGATTCATAAGATGACCCTCACCTCTTTTGATACGCCTATAAATTCCTTTCTTATGCCCTAGTAGATATTTGAGCCTATTATTCATCCATTTTGGGTCATTTCTATTTGATCTAATTTCTTTATATGGGATAAACGCTCTTTGAGCAGCATGTATAGTGTTCAGAAAACTGTCATATTGATAGCTCTATTCGTTACCCCAGTCAACAGATGATAAGTGTTCTCTAAGCCCATCGTAATCTGCTAAGCGAAAATCTGGGACTGTTACTGAGTTATCGCTACTATCGTACTTCCATTCAATGCTAAATGTAATTGATTTGTGGTCGCTAGCACCCATTCCTCTGAAATTTCTAAATTATTAACAAGGGATTCATTGTTTGCCATAACTAAGTCAAGCAGGTTATTTCCCCTTGTAGGTTCTGTCACAAACTGCTTCAAAAAACAATCCTGAAATACTTCTAAGAAGTCGTACGATTCTAAATTCCCAGTCAAGAAATTCCAATCAACATGACTAAAGTTAAAGTCTCCTAGAATTACTACATTATCGTGCCTTGTGGCCTTAACAATTTCCTCCCATAGTAGTTTCCCTTGGTCCCTATCTAAGTTAGGGGGACGGTATATCACTCCTAAAATCAGTTTTTCATGCCCCTCTGAAAATTCTATCCAAACAGACTCTGTATGTGTTACTTCAGACTTAATACCCGTTTTTATGCAACAGTTCAAGCGATCTCGGACATACAATGCCACCCCACCCCCCCTCCCAATACTTCTATCTTCTTGGAACAATTTAAAACCCTGAATATGACATTCCGCAGGCATGTCCCGACTTTTTGAATTAAACCACGTCTCAGTTAAGGCAAATACATCAAAGTTACCTACACTAGCAACTAATCTCAACTCGTCCATCTTATTCCTAGCACTACGGCAATTAGCATAATAAACATTGAAAGACTCTCCTTTCTCTTTACCCTTCCTGCTCATTTCTATTTTTCTACTAAACCTATTACCGTCCTTATCATGAGGGTGGCGTTGATGACACCTACAAGTCCAGAGTGAAGCGTAACTCCCTCTTCTTTGCACTTTCGACGAAAAGAATACGTTAGATTCTTGTCGAATTGAATATTAACAAAGCAGGTTTTCACATCGGTTCGTCCTGAAACAGGAAAGGCATCCAGGAAAAGAGGACGAGTATCAGCACCATCCTGAAAATCCTTTCTGACTCTTTCCTTGAGTTCCGGATCTCCCAACAACTTTTGCCTTTGCTCTTCGTAAAGTTTCTGAGTTTGCTCGTCACCAACAAGCTTCCCCACCTGTTGTTCGTCGTTCACGGGGCGACCGGCAACCATATCGTCTAGAATGGTATGCACCAGGTTGCAGATATTGATATTAGTGAACCCGTCAGCTAACGAATGGTGGATACCAAGCATGAGAGCGTAATTATGAGAGAAAATCGAATCCAGATCGGTGGAGGATGGTGTAGGTGGCAGGGCGAGGAGCCTCACACACCACATGGGTCCCTCAGATGTGTTGTAGATGTAGTGAGTCAGCTCCTCTTCCACTTCCTCCGTCTTTGTTTTTTCCACAATCTTTTAAAAATTATACATACATAAGACAACTGTCATGTCATACGGGATATTGTACCCACAATATTTTAAAATGACACCCATCTTGTACTTCTGTTTTTATAAAGTAGGTAGTGGTACTGCAGATAAATGGTTCAGAAAATAGACAAGGTGATGAATAAGACACTTGTGCAACACTTGGGTATAAAGATATTCAAGTGATGTATAACTGTCTCATTCATCAGGTAGTGAGTGGTACGTACCAAAAAGTAAAACTTTTTGGTACGTACAAAAATATATGATATTAGAAGCAAGGTACGTAAATATAAACAAAAACCTAATGGATACAAGTATGAACAAGACCAGATACCTTGAAGTCGAGGTTACAACCATTCATTTGTCGGAGCCACAGCCGTCCATCACGTTGACCAAGACAGACCCTCAGCACCTCAACCTTCCTGCAGACACCATCACCATCATTGTCATATGATAGTAGCCCAGAAAAAAAAAAATTTATTTTACGCATACACGTTCATACATTAGTAGATAAATCAGAATCATTTTAAGTCTAAAAACATACAGTGGAGCTAACTTTCATATTTTGTACACTTTTATATTCTTTCTTCTTTCAACAAACCGGCCGTATCCCACCGAGGCAGGGTGACCCAAAAGGAAAAATGAAAGTTTTTCTTTTTAAATTTAGTAATTTATACAGGAGAAGGGGTTACTAGCCCCTTGCTCCCAGCATTTTAGTCGCCTTTTACAACAGGCATAGCTTACGGAGGAAGAATTCTGTTCCACTTCCCCATGGAGAGAAGAGGAAATAAACAAGAACAAGAATTAGAAAGACAATAGAAGAAAACACAGAGAGGTGTATATATATATATATATATATATATATATATATATATATAATATATATATATATATATATATATATATAATATATATATATATATATATATGCTTGTACATGTATGTGTAGTGTGACCTAAGCGTAAGAAGAAGTAGCAAGACGTATCTGACATCTTGCTTGTTTATGAGACAGAAAAATGGACACCAGTAATCCTACCATCATGTGAAGCAATTACAGGCTTTCCTTTTATACGCACTTCGCAGGATGGTAGTACCTCCCTAGGCGGTTGCTGTCTTCCATCCTACTACCTAGAACACTTTTATACATAGTATATGAAAAAAGGATACATCGTATCAACAGTGGTCTGCTACTGTCCTATATGATAGATACACATGCGCGTACACGAGTATTACTACACTTATAGACATGAATATCTTTTCAGATGCACATACACACTTACGCATATGCATACACAAACACACATACAATACATACATAAACTCATACAATACGTAAACACATACAATACATACATACATATGTAATACACATATATACATATACATGTATGTATACATCAGAGTTCCAGAAGGGCGAGAAGCAGGAAAAGCTGGTACATGATAAGAAACAGAGGGAATACGTATAGAGGTACCAAGGTTCCCTACCTGAACAGGTGAGTAAGAGCTGAGTACACCAGGTCATGGTGAAGAGGCTGGCATGAAGCCAGGTGTAACGTGTAGCAGGTTAGGCACGACCGGTTCTGGTGACCTAGTTCCATTAATTCCTCAGTCAGGGTGACCGGACGTAGCCACTGGACCTCACTGCTGCTCATCTTCACACTAATAAGTAAGTAAGTTTATTCAGGAACAGGTACACATAAATAGTTACATAAATTACCATACATAGCAGTATGTGTAAATTACCTAGGATAACCCAAAAATGTCAGACTGGCTGCTGCACTCGCTGTTCTCCTCACACTGTTTGCTGCACACGCTGCTCACTTCACATTCGCTGCTGCACACGCTGCTCACTTCACATCCGCTGCTGCACACGCTGCTCGCCTCACGCTGTTCTCTGAGGGGAAGATATATTTCTAAGATTAATTTCTAAGTATTAACAGCTAACCCACAAGCTGTACAATTTGTTTTTTTTAAGACGACATTGTCTGTTAGTTAAGAAATGCTTTAGCAGCGGTATTATGACTTTTATTATTCACAGCATACATTATCAAAATAAAAGCTAGCTATGCTCTTCTAGATTTTCCTTCCCCGCCAACACTATAATTTGAAAAATTGTGGAGGGTGGGCGAGTTTGTCCCTCAGATCAACATCCGTTTTCTGTCAAGTCACGAGCGTCAGCAATACATGGGCACTTGGTGACCTTCAGTCTTCTAGTTACTAAATTTTCGCATAGTCAAGGATGTATATGATATACAGACTACAAAACATTAATCTTTGCACACTCGCCCGTCTAGGAAAACAATTTTTGAAGGAGTTCATATGCGTTTAGCTCACAAATTTGTTAAAATAAGGTGTAGGAAGCACTCACCTGGACCAGAGATATGAACCTCCACTCACATACTGATTGCTGCTGGGTTGAAGACGCTGATAGTTACTAATAAATGATCGACGTTATTCAAACTATCGCCGGATCGTTTTACTTGTAACAATAAATATTTATTCAATGTTATGTCATGTTTGCGCCGCTCTTACATTTAGAACAGTTTTCCTTGCAAAATCGATGGTGACAGTAGACGGAAGAATGAGGCTGGGCGCCTAACATGAAATTTGTTTATCTAATCATCATCTATAAATATTTTATCAAAATGCCACATATCGAAATTTACTGGCTGACAACAACATTGTAAAAGTTTCTTTCAATAAACGGTTTAGTGCTCTTTTATTCTTTCTAGTTTTTTTTTTTCAAATTTGGAGGTAAGGCGATCTACAACTAGTTACTTGGTTACTACCACATTCTTGGGTATTCTAGGTTCAAACTACATAATGTATAATTTTATATACAAATAATTTATGTAAATCCTCAAGACCATTGCAAAAATTTTGTATGTTGTGTATGTAAATCCAAAAGTAAGAATTTACTAAATTACTCAGAGTAGTGGTTAACGCGATCGGCTAATGCAAGAGAGGACTTGGGGGGTTGAATCCCATTACAAGGCAAACCTCCTTACACCAGCTGCTGCTTTTACCTAGCAGCAGATACCTTGAAGTTAGTGGAGTGTTGTGTATCGCATCCTGGGGGAGGATCTAAGAAGAACCTTTTCCCCCAAGTGGAAATAAGCTACACTTCTTGGTTTTCTTGATCTGATTCAATAATCCAACCAGTCTCCTGCTTTCCTGAATGTACTCATACTGAAATTCTTTAAAGTAAAAACGGATTATGACATTCCACACGGGATGTGGAAAATAATTTCCCAAAAATTATGCTGTATATTTTTATAATGTAAATATATCTGATTAAAACATTACTATTGCTCTAAAGTGTATTTTAAAGAAGTGAACCGACAAGGAATCTCTGCGCCTGCGCTGAGGAGCAGGGAGTAGACGTCATTGTTTTTTAATGTGATACGAGCACGTTGGTGTAATGTGCATGATTTTAGTCGCTCTAGGGGTTATATTGGGCTTAAAACCTCTCAAAAAGGAGCCGAAATTGTTGGATTTGCAGTCCTGCATAACATGAGCATTAAGCAGATGGACAGGACAGCTCCAGGAACCTCAGCTAAGTTGTTTAATTTGTGTAGGAATTCTGGCCTGTATTCTCTTCATAAATTTAGACAGAGAGGTTGAGCTTGACACACCGTAATCTCCAGACTAATTGGTGAGTCTTATGATTATAAATTCTCCTTCTGTTACATAAATGTGTATATGTAATCATTTATTAGTTTTAACATACAGTACACAAATTTATATTAATGTTTACCATAATTCCTGGTAATGTATATTTCATTTGAAATTAATATAGGTCAAGAGTGACTTGTGGATATGACAGTAGTAGGTATCGAAGGGGGACATTTTTTGTGACCTAGATGTCCTAAAATTCCTACTTGTCTCTGTAACTTAGATAAAAAATAATTATCTTTGTTACCATTTACTGGTATGTATCTTATGAGTTACATCCAGGAAAATTTAATTTTCCATACGAGACCTAAATTTACTCTACGTCAAACTTGATATATTTTCACATAAGAGACGATGAAAATGTATGTAAAAAGCTGAACTACTTCATTATTGTTTTGGAAAGTTTTAATAAAACTGCTTTATAAGGTTATATGCATCCTAATGTAAAATGATTATACTTTGAGTAAGATTAAAATTAATACAATATATTAATACATTAATATATTGTTATATTGTCATATAGTAAGAGTTACACACACACACACACACACACACACACACACACACACACACACACACACACACACACACACACACACACACACACACACACACACTAGTAGCAACCGGTGAAGAGGCGGGGCCAGGAGCTAGGACTCGACCCCTGCAACCACAAATAGGTGAGTACAAATAGGTGAGTACACACACACATATATGTATATATATATATATATATATATATATATATATATATATATATATATATATATATATATATATATATATATATATATATATATATATATATATATATACATATATATATATATATATATATATATATATATATAATATATATATATATATATATATATATATATATACATATATATATATATATATATATATATATATATATATATATATATATATATATATATATATATATATATATATGTCGTGCCGAATATGTAAAACTGGTCAATTAGCATGAACTCATTGAAAATTAAGTCCTTTGTAAAATTTTCTCTTATACGTTTAAAGATATATTTTTTTCATTAATGTTAATGAAAATTTTTTTAATTTTCCTTCAGTAGAATCTTAGAAAACTTACCTAACCTTATTATAGCAAGAGTAATTTATTTTAGCCTGACCCAACTAAATATATTTTAGATTTGTTTACAATAATTTAACACTAAACAAACACAGTGAAATATATTTTTTTCGTTAGGTTCAGAATGATTTTGGCGAAATTATTGCATACACAAATTTTCACTTGTCCTACATGGCAAGATAAGCGTTGCTATTTAAGCCAAGATAGCAAGTTCTGCCTATTCGGCACGACATATATATATATATATATATATATATATATATATATATATATATATATATATATATATATATATATATATATGTCGTGCCGAATAGGCAGAACTTCTTGATGATTTGCCGGTACTTCCACAATGAACAACTGTGACACCACCTACCTCTGCTGCACCTCTCCTGCCTACGGTTTATAAGCAGCTTCTCCGCTCATATGCCGTATTCTATTCAAGATTGATGGACTGACCACATCGACTCAAGGTTGAGGAACTGATTACCTCATTCTCCTCCTGTTCTTCAAGTTTCTCCTATGTATGGACTGATGAAGCCACTGTGTAGCGAAACGTTTCCTCAAAGAAGATACCCAAGAGTTACACATGTGTCTAATTTATCAGCCAGCAACAGCCTTGAGAGCATTTAGCCTATCTTTGCATTTCTTATTTAGTTGTGGTATAGTGGATTTGTTAAAAGGTACATCTACACCAAGATGTCTGTAAGTTTTAACGTAGCTAATGTTTTCACCCTGCAAATAAATGGGTGGGGGATGTCGTTTACTTGTTAATATCTTTGGTTTAGAGGAAGATATTATGAGACCTAGTCGATTACAAATTGCTTGAACTTCATTAAGAATGGTGCTCATCTTCTTATGCCCTGTTGTATGTATCATGATTTCATCAGCATAGCTTATAGCTATATGCTTAGGTGAATCAGGTAGAGCATTTTTGGAGAGCATTAATCAGAATATTAAATAGCATGGGACTAAGAACTCCTCCCTGCGGTGTACCTCAAGACATTTCTTTCGACTCACTTCTAAAGCCTTGGTAAAGGGCAGAGGATACTTTATTTGACAGGTATCCTATTATCCAGCAGAATAAGCTACCACCAATATTCATTTTGGCTAGTTCATGTAGTATAACGGTTCTGTTCACAATATCAAATGCAGATTTTAGATCAAGAAAAGTGGTAAAACTAGTAGAGGTGTGTGCAGTGAGAAAGGTGGAAATACAGATCTGCACACTTTTACCTTTCATGAACCCATAGAGGTAGCGGGAAAGTTGGTGTCTGATTCTGTAGTACAGTACCATTCTTTCAAAAGTTTTACAAAGACAACTAGTTAAGGAGATCGGTCTAAATGTATCAGGCTGTTGGGGCTTAGGGATAGGCACAATGAGACTATTGGTCCAGGAAGTAGGAAGAACTCCCTCAATGTAACTGGCATTATACAGTGATGGAAGGTTTTCATGCCTGGATGTTTTGGACACTCATTGATGAGGTCATTTGCTTTTTCAAGAGGAAAGTGATGAGCAACATTGCCAATCTTTTTCCTGGTTATTTTATTTATACCTTTCCAAGCCAAACTTAAAGGGGTGGACATATTTAATCCACTAACAAATTATTCCCATTCCTGCTGCCTAAGTTTTTGCTTTCTATTCCTTGCATTTGTTAGTGCAGCTTGGAACGTTCTGAGCAGGTCTGGGGTTCTACATTCACGGTATGCTTTACCAATCCTCCTAGCTGCTGCATGTGTTAGATTGCGTAGCTCTGAATCATTATAGTATTTACATTGGTTTTTATTGTTATTTATAGTGGAAGGTCTATGTTTTCTTTTCCTGCCCACTTGATCTGTGAGGACAGTCTCAAAAGTGGCAACTAAATCATCATTAAATTTTTGTGTGCGAAAGGGCTCGTAATTCTTATACCATTGATCCAAGTGGTTAATAAAGTTATCTCTGTGTTCTGGGTTGAGAATAAGTTTCCTAATTCTGAATTGAGCTTCTTGATTGCTGGAGATGTGATCAAGATTGACAGTTGTGAGTCTTGGGAAGTGATCAGCTAGAAGATCATCAGATGGAAAATCATCATATACGGTGCATGACAGAGTCATGCACCGTATATGATGTATTAAATCCAAGGCACAGATCTAATATGATACCATATATGTGAGTAGGCTCATTAGAGTCCACAATTCGAACATTATCATGCTTATTTAGCAATTTCACTAGATTAGTTCCATTGGTGTTTGTAATAGACCCACCAATATTCTTATGTCTGGCATTAAAATCTTCAAGAATGAGGGTAGGTTCATTATTGATGCAATCTGGTAAAGCATCAGGTCGAAGCTGGCTTGCTGGGGCATAGAGATTAAAAATGTTTATGGAAAAATCGCCTGCATGTTTACTCGTTTCTGCAGGGCAAGGAGTGAATGTGGCAAGTTCTTTCTGACATACATGACAGACATAGAAGTGTAACTAAAGATTTTGAATTAGGAACCCCACAGGGAGGTGTGCTTAGTCCCACCCTTTTCAACATTTTGATTAATGCCTTACTTAATGTCATGCCTAGCCAGCCCCATCATTATATGGTTAGTTTTGCTGATGACATAATGATTCACACTACCGGATTCTCCAACACCCAAAACATTCTTAATCATGTACTAGCCTCGTGTCAGGACCTGGGGTTAATAATCTCAGGGGATAAAACAAAGATACTCAACAGGCGT